GTGATATTATGACTTCGATCATTACTAATGATATCATTATTGTTACAGTTATTACTTTTAAGTAATGATATATGAAAAAGAGGAAAATTATGTGCAAAACCTTTACAATTTTTCATTCTAGTTGCGTGCCCTCATTTATTTAATATATTATGTATGACATGACTAAAAGTTATTCACTGATTATCAGTCTTTATTGTGTAGAATAATAAAAAGTAATTAATAGAGAATATGCATCAGATGTTCAAAGGACTTGTCTTTATTTCTCTCTCTCTCTCTCATCTACGAAATAAACCTGTGGAATTACATCATTAAAACGTTTGATCCTGTCATATTCACCGAAATAAATTATCAATGTGATTTGACAAAGATCAAACTTTTTAAAGTATTTAGTAATTTATTTGTAGCTATTTGGTAACAACACTGGAAATTATAAGTAATAATGATGAATAATTTAATTGTAGTACACTTTAAATACTTTATTACTGTTTGTTTCAATTTGTGATTAGTTTAAGGTACAGTACAATATTATTGGTTTTAAATTTACACTTCTTTGATGCTTATCATTGTGAATTCAACTAAACAGATCTCAGCTAGAAATGATTACATAAATTAATTATGCAATCCTTTCAGAAAACAAAATATGTGCACAAGGACATATTAAACGATTATTTTGATATCGTTTAAAAGAATCACTGCTTTTCGATATTCATTGAAATCCAGCTATCATGAATTTAATGTCAGCAAGGAATTTCCCTCCTTTTATTCTCACTTACTAGCTTCTTTCGCTGCGGAATAACAACAGTTTAACCATAGTTTCTCCAACGTCACTATAAAAGTGAATAGGTGGTTCTTGACAAGAGAGCCTTCGTTGACATTAGAATTCATAAATCTGATGCATTAATTTTACCTATAATGGTGATAATTCTAATCTTATGAAAAGAACAACTAAACAGCTAAATAAAAGAGCCAAGAACTAATCAGATAATAGTACAAATCGGAGTAATAATAGTGAAACGTTGGCTTTGTCAACTTGCTTATTTGTCAGAACTACAAATTATTATAGTTAAATTCAGTGATTCCTAGGAAATTTGTGATCATAGTATCGAACAACTGTTTCGTTTATACAAACTCATACGGTGAAGTCAAACAACTTTCTATGATACAACCATGTATTCACTCCACAATTAGCAATAAGTCAATCAGTCAGCTACAACGTAGGACCACGCACATCTGTGCATCGGTCCAATTCGCCATACCTCATTTGCACAACACCAAATTCATAGAAGTAGTCACTTCAATGGTGGTAATATATAAAAGAAAGATTGAATATAAGGATATAGTACAGGAAGAAAGAATTAGTTCGTAGAAAGAAGGATATGAAGCGACTTTAATTTCATAGTTTAAGGGAAGATAGAGAGTGTATACACCGACGCTATTGCGATCGATTCTGAACCATGTCACCCAGAGTCTCCAACCACTGGTCACAATAGTCGTGCGGACCCCAACCAGGTAATTTGCATCTACCACCATGGTTCAGACTAGAAGTTATTGACTTCAAGAACTGATGCCACGTTTTGATTTGGCCGCCCCTAACAAATTAACAACAGTTTTAAGAAATTAGGGATTATTCACTTTTTTAATATTAATCAGCAGATAAGTTAGTTTGTCATAATAATCAACTAAAAGGAACATTGAAAACGAGATTAACAAGAAGAAACTATTTTTTTATAAAATCAAATAATTTATTACTGTGTAAGCACTATCATATTACTTATCAGTCTTATAATAAAAAGAAAACGAGTGATTTAAAGCTGAATAATTCTTTATATTTATTGTGATTATACAATGATAGTTAGTGAATGTAATACAGTAAACTACTTAATACTTAAATGAATAAAACGAGATAAGGCATTGAATTAAGATATTCATCATTATATATTAATTACTAAATAATTACCTTGTATTTATTTAAGAAGAAATGCCATGAGATATTAGTGAGAAAATAACGATGATAGATAATGTCTTGAATAAAATAAATCTTAAATTGTTTTACATAAATTTGAATAATCTCGTAAATGATATTGGTACCGAATTAGTCTATGAAAGTTTTTTTCCAGTAACTACCATGTAGTATTAACCGAATTCTAAAGACTATATTTCTCATTATAAAAATTAAACTACTCAACTTAAGGTCGTAATGTAATTTTTTTCCCAAGGTGATCACAAATTTTTTTAACAATCTTGAAATCTTACTACAAGTGTCTTTTTCTTATTAGTTGTCATTGCTTCTAGTTCACTAAGTTTCTGTATGCTTAATGATTATTATTTTTTGTTACAATGTATTTACGGATTCGTACTAATTCTTTCTGTATTACCAGTATAGGGGTTGTGGAGATTATTAAGTTTTTGATTGAGATCAAGAGCCGATTGATGTTAGACCACCACCTTTGGAAACCTGGAAGCACTAGACGGTCGTTTCGTCCTATTGTGGGACTCCTCAGCAGTGCGCAATTTCGTGGATTGGTTGATGTTATATACTATCACCATTGGATGCCGGCTCAGTGGTCCAGTTGGTTAAGCGTTCGCGCGCGAGACCGAAGGCCCTGGGTTCGAGTCTTTCTGTATTGTTCGTCCTATCTCGAATACCAAGTTTTTCTATCAAATTCACCTTCCTATGTTAGCTGTCAAGTGTTGATGAGTTTTATGTTAGTTTCAGTTATAGATTACAAAAAGAACTAATCTTATTAAAGTACCTGAATCGTTTTTCTAGTTTCTGAAGTATTTTAGATCTGTACTGAACCTCAATAACGAGATACGACAATAACATTTGACGTAAACTACCGATAGGACTGTAAGCTTTTATGAGGATAGTTAAAAGTCCCTATCGAGTATCAATTTCAAGATGCTTACAATTGTCATTCAGAATTGCGAATCTGACTTTAATTTGATCTAAATATCAAGTATGTAGTTATCCGTTTTACATATGTTGAACAGAGAATTCCCCACTACATAGAGTCAGACATTGCGCTGCCAAATAAGTGTAAAACCTGAGGAAGTTTGACTATATCGAATTTTTAAATACTATTCAATGTTGCCTCAGAGGTCTCAATTCAACTCATGTATTACTCCATAAAAAGCGAGTAATTCTTAATTGCTAAATGAGAACAAAGTGGTAAGTTTGAGTATTTGTGACAGATAAATATTTCACCTTAAATATGTCTTTATTAACTATCACATATATGGTTGAAGACCCGGATTTTTATTGTTTCTATTAGTCATGTGTAATGCGTATATGGGTATGCAACTCAATAGAATAGACTGTTTTATAAAACCAATCAAATTTCAGTCATTACCAGACAAAAATATGCGATAAGGTCATGTGGGAATAGTACAATCAGTCCAAGTATTGGTTTCATATGGCTGAAAACGCTTCAGATTTGAACCTAGTTGAAGCAAGTGAGTATCGGTTACTTAGTGATAGATTTCAAGTTAAAATAATATACGATCCAGTAGATGTCACTATTATACTAATACTTCTTGATAAATCATCTGACAGAACGCTTGAATCGGTTTTCTAAGCTCTTTTAATAACCCCAGGCTAACTCTACACGACAACTTGAGCACGAGAGAAAAGGAGCGAAAGATGGAAAGAACACTTTACTCCAAAGTTCGTATATATACAGAAAATTTAGGGTATCTATAGCATTTCACATGGTCTTGCGTTCTTGAAATCTTACTAGACGTAGTAACAGGATAGGCAATCCTTCAATCAGAAGTGTGACACGTGACTCTCCACTTTCTAGATGTTTCTGAGAAGCTTCTACTGAATGCTGATTGGACAAAATGTTTCCCAGAGTTTCCACAGGCTTTTTTCAAGGAATATTCTGGGTCTCCCCAACACTTTGATTATTGATTCAGAATATAATATATCCAAACAAGTTATCACTCTGCTATGACCTAATTGATGGATTAAATGATGATAATTATGGCTAAATTAACATTTATTTTTCCATTAAACAATATTTAAAATCACACGGAAATGACCATACAAATCCATAATTAAAAAACGAAGTTCAGCGAAGGGATCTCTTTTCAACGAATTTGTTATCAAGCTGTACAATCGTATATATATGAAAATTTTGTTTTTGTAAAAGTACTAATTCCGTGAGGAAATGTGAACACAGTTAACCATGACGTAATAAAAAAGGTTATCCATAATTATCAATTGGACAGACTAAGAAAATCGTAAACACAAAAAAGACAGTCATACACAATCACACACGCAAATTCAAATATAAACACTTATTTTATGATTGCTTTAATATAACCATCAGTCGTTAAATCTTGTTGATTACAAGAGGGAACAATCAATGTAAAAGTGAGATGTGAAGACAAGTTTAATTAATTACCAAATATGCTACTAGTTTCTCTCCTTTTTTCAACAGAATTGATGATTACCAGACAGGGATACTGAAGCATTACTTATTGTTATTTGAGTGGAACAAAAATGTCCTTAATTGCTGTTGACCTTGAATGAATTATTGAAAAATTATAAATACTTGAATCAAGTGATTGTTAAGTTGTGCATATAAATACAAAACACAGGTTTACACTACAGTGTGTTTGTATAGAGTCTGAGTCATACTCTTAGATTATCATACTTGGTTGTGAGTTTATCCGGCTCCAATCAGTTGGGTTGTAGGTTAGACATAGAATCAGAAGTGTAACCATAACCTTTTCAATTTTATAACATAGATAGAGTGATTAACAGGAATCCAAGTGATTGACGCACTCACTGTATCACCAATGCAGACAAGACTAAACGAAAACTTAACATATTTCCGAAATAAAAGGGGAAACATACACATTAGTCGATCCGATATTATGAATGAGTCACTGAGATGCAACAGATATGAGAAGTCAGTTTACTCACTGTTCAAGCATAAACTCTTTCTTATTGAATATAATATTGAAAATTTAAATGATATCAGTGATTTCGACAACAATTAACATAATCAGTGAAATCTATAAAAACCCAACTTGAAATGAATTAGAAACATGACGTTATCGCTAACAGTCTATATACAACAAGATTCTATAAAATAAAAACTGAAATGATGTTCAGTAGAACAAACTAATTGATGCAATAAAGTTACCCTTCTTTCTAATAAAAAGTAAAATGTTGAATTTCATCTAAGGGAATTTTTAAAAAAATGACGATCAATACAATTAGTCCGTTCATAACTATTACACTGACCAACAAATAAAAAACATTTAAATGCAAATAAAACTTATATTTCTATACAGTTGTATTCTGTTTTAGAACAAATCCCAAAAAACTATTACAAGTAATTATTGAATTGAAGTGCCTGAAGTTAATCAACGCCAACGACGTGGAGGAGGCTGAACACGTAATCGTGGTTGTGAATTACGTTTGAACACTTGATATTCTTTTAATTTACTGTTATAAGGCTCTGGAAGTTTTCCAAATGATCCACCGAAATCAGGCATTTTTTCTTTGATTTCATTGATAAGGGTACTCTTGTCTGTTAACTGTGTTCAAGATAAAAACATGATAAATAAAATAATTTATTTTAGAAAAATACACAATAATACACTTGTTATATCTCGACGAGAATTATGAATGGTAATTCTTGAGAAATATTTATGGATCAATACAATATGTATATATATATATATATATATATATATATATATATATATATATATATATATATATATATAGTATAATTATTAAGTAGCTAAACTATGCATATTCATGTTTCTCTTATTATAAGCTCTACTTTGACTTAGAAACTATTATTACATGATTTACCATTCTTGAGTTATGTCCAATCTCGCACATTCACAACCACTTTTGGCTAAATCTTGTACAAATGTTGTCTTCTATTTTATCATACGATGTGGACTGTTTGGCTTGTATATAAACCCAGTATGTTTGAGATACACGATTTATATTTTGGAGGCTGATAATGGTGTTCTGGACACAACAGGCAGGGCTAAATGGAACTTGTTGTTAAGATATGCCTTAAACTAAATTAATTCATTAGTAATGAAATAGAAATTCAGTCATAAAACAAGCAAAAACCATACTTGGATAACAGACAGACTCAGTTTTGCACTGATTAAACCAAAAACCATTAAAAGAGACACCGAGTGAAATTTGCGTACTCTAACTATACTACTTATGAGTAATTAGAAATCATTCCTTTTTATTTTACGGGTCAAAGTAATTATTGTTCTCTGATCAATTAACATATGTTCTATTAAGGCAACCATACTGAATCGGTTATTTTTGTGCTTATCAGTGTTGAGGATTGAGTGTTATGTTTATCCATTTGAAAATGAGATTTAAGTTGAGCGAATCATTATTTATTGCAGAACCATTCATTATTTATGCTATTCCTTATTTAAACATGAACATTGGTACAAGGAGGCACTAAATAGATATGCGCCACATAATTCATTGGATTTATTTGAAAGCTGTGATACCACCCAGGTGCCCAGACTGAAGCAGGTGGTCTTCCTAAGAGGCCACACCCCGAGCCTTTAACCTGAAGGTCTAATCCACAAGGCAGTGGAGCAGCGTTAGGACATGCAGTCCCATGGTAGCAGGCAACCAACAATAAGTTCATACTCCATTTGTTCCGACAGGATTCTAGAGCCCATGTGCATTATTGGTTTGGAATCATGGTTTTCTAACTCCCCTAGGAGGATCCTCTATATCCACAAACCCGATTAAAGTGCCAGACATTCGCTTTTTGTCCTCTCAATTTCGAAAACAAGTCCTGGCAGTGGTTGTATGCACGTGGCCATTTGAGAGCATTTCGAGAGGAAGAGCTGACTGTCCCCACTCTCGGTCGTACCAGGGCATTTCCGAGAGGTCAAGAAAGTTTTGAATTTAACCGACCTCTAGTGAGTTACTCCAGTAAATTTAACATATACTGATTACCCTCTCAAATAAATCAACATCGAATTTACCAGCAAATTGTTTAGCTTTATGCTTAGTCTATATTCCTTGTTAGATTTCTCAGATCACTAGTGACCAATACAAGTAGCGATATGAGTTACCAACATAAGATGAATAACTGTAGATTCGAACGCCGCTCCACGTACTTCGGATTGGGTAACTGGAGGTAGTATCATTACTCCTCGAAGTGAATGTGACTCATATTCAAGTACTTAGTGAATGCGTCACTTTATTATTATTATTATTATTATTATTATTATTATTATTAATGGCTTTATTCAATATTATATTTTGGTACAATATAGAATTCTCAGCACAGGGTATTTCAACAAGTTACTTACGCAACAAAAAAACAATACAAAATACAAAAAATGGTTTAAAAAGAGAAAACCCGAAAAACTGTACAACTTTTAAAATTAAAGACATGTTAAGAATGCAGGTTATTGACTAGGTTCACTCTAACAACCTGTTCATCACAGAGCATATTTTGCCAGGTAAGGTATTATAGAACTTTTATACTTTTCCTTACGTGCATGGATTTTAATGTAATTACGTCTCGTCCTACCAGAAGATATACAAGGAGAAAGATAAGAGTGAAAGGGAAAGTTAGTATTTGATAAGATAACACCTGCCAGGAGTTTGCATGACTTTAGATGTCTATCCACAACCATATTAATTATGACCTCGAAAGATTCACCATACACCTTGCTAACTACCTTCAGCACTCTCCGCAATACAGCAAAGTCTTTTCTCAAAAGCCCGGGAAAGAATAGTGGAAAACAGTAAAGAATAATAGGTAATATGCAAGAATTGACAAATTGTAAGAGTAAATGACGAGTAATCCTAAGAGTATGCAATCTCTTTATGTAGTAAGTCAGACGGAAAACCTTCTTCAATAACAATAAAACGTGGGAAGACCAAGAGAGATCAGAGGAAAAGGTCACACCAAGATAAATGACCTTCGACACTGTGTTTATCAAACATTCTCCAATGGTACAAGCATTATGGGATCTCAAAATGCTGTTTAGATTCCATTCATGTCTCATGCTGAAGTTAACAGCTTGACATTTAGACGGATTAAGTATGAGACCATTACCAACAGACCAACAATCAATACGAGACAAAAACTCATTCATTTCTATGGGATGTAAAGAGGAAGAGATAGGCATACATACAGTGAGACCATCCGCATATTTCACAAAAGTGTTTTCTGTGGAAGATGGCAGATCATGTAGAAAAAAAAGAGAAAAGAAGAGGTGAAAGAACAGCTCCTTGTGGTACACCTTCATGAGACAGTAGAGACTCTGAACACTTTCCTTCAACTACAGTATACTGTTCCCTTCCAGAAAGGTAGGGACATAGCCAGTTGATTATCCAGCTGTCAGTGTTGACGCTGATTAACTTGTTAAGTAAACGTTGTCTTGGTATAGAATCAAAAGCTGAAGTATAGTCCAGAAAAGCACATCGAACATACTTCTTTCCCTTTTCTAAGTTGAACACTATGTTGTGATGCAGAACAGCAACAGCATCTAAAGTGCTTCGTTTCTATCTGTAAGCAAACTTATATGGATCAATATGCCCTTTTATCGCAGGCTGAAGTGAAAGTATTAATCATTTTTCCATTGTTTTGAGGAAGGGTGAAGTTATTCCAATAGGTCTAAATTTTACATGCTTATCACCAGATGCTTTCTTGGGTACAGGGATTATCTTCATCTTTCTCCACATTTTCGGTATGAGATTGGATGAGAAGAATCTGTTAATGATAGTTGTGAACGGATAACATAGGACGTCAGCACACTTTTTAAAAAGGATGTTTGGGATACCATCAGGTCTCAAACATCGAGATGAATTAAGTGACTGGAGACATCTTCGTACATCAGTTTCAGTGAAAGTAGGAACAGAGCTATTATTTAAACCTGTGGATAAACGGAGCATCACATCAGATGATTGACGTACAAAAGACTTATTTAAGTCACAAACACTCAGCTGCTTATCGCTCCTAAACTGTCTGTCACCTATAAGTTCTTTAAAGAGTTTCCACATACTTGGAGAGTTTTTGCAAGACAAGAGTTTTTGAGTAAACATAGAGTTGAGACGTCTAATCTCTAGGTTTGTCAGACCATTTAGCTTACGAACTTCATTAGAGTTCTTCTTAAATTATATTTAATGATTTGGGAGCAACGTATAAGGTTGCTAACAATTATAAGCTTAAGAAAAATGTTATTATAACCAAGTGTTTCGCAAATAATGATAAATTGGAACTAACTACCATTTAAATGGTTTTGTTGAAATACTACCTTTATAAACATTTATTGAGAAATTGTACGAAATGATCATTCATTTCATAGTTCTGTGAAGTAAACATGATAGATAACGGCAAAATAATAAATCAAAAGTTTATTGATGTCCAATCCAGATGTACTTTTGTTCTAATACTTGGTTGTTTATTTGTTTAATTCATATAAAGTTTGTTACCACCATACACCAAAAACTGTATGCGCCACACAAAATATTTGTATTTGGAGTGCGATACTGTCTAAAGCAACGATGTTCGGCTGGTTGAAAACTGTCAAACATACACCATTTGTGTTATAATGTTTAGCGACTCGTTATGTTCAGTAATTGTTGTCTCGGGAGGACTAACCCCTCTCATCCAGTGAAAGCATAAATTGGGAAGACGGTAATTCAATAAGTGGGATATCGGGTTCTGTGACTTGGCTACACAGCCTTTAAATAGCCCATCGTATTGTGTGCCTGAGACTCTATAAATCTAACAGGTGGTCAGTTTATTATATAGAATGGTATAATGAAGAACAATAGTGTTCCGTTAGAATCATGATTAGATTCTGAAGATTACGGAAATTAGTTGTGGATACGAATAGAACCCAAGGGTCAACTTGTTATAGCTCACTGCTACATTTCTTGTAAAAAGAATGATGTAGTTTGAAATGAGAGGAATCTATCTTGGCTGAGTTGAACCATATTGTTTGATACATACCAAATTAATATCATATTTATTTGTTTATGGAACGATTTCGCAGTTAACAACTTTCACACCACTGTAACTTCACAGTGAGTGACGAATTACATTGTGCCCTATTTTACAAAATCTTTTCTATTTTGTAAATAAATGAACAATCGGATCACCAAATTAAGCAAACACCTTCGAAATAATATAATGACTAATGGTCTTTTGGATACATTTCGATAGTGATTACCATCAGAAGTAAATGTACATTAATAATGGGAAAATGAAAGTTCAAATGAATACGACTGTTCGGTTTAATAAATTCATTAAAAACACAGGAAAATGGTTGTTTCTTTTGTAAAAATATGATTGACTAAGTTAAAAGAACGGCACTGAAGAACTAATTTCTATTTTAAGAAACACTTCAGTATATATGTCGTCCATTTCTGTGCTATTTATACTTAAATCTTTAAGTTAGTTTGATCATTACATTTAGTATTGTCGTTAATTGCGAAGAGTAATACTATTTACATTGCATTAAAACGCCTAGGAAAGACACGATTCCAATAAAAATGGGTAGTATGTATAATAAGTAGATTACAAAGATAGTTTTCTATAAAAGGGAAACATACTTTAAAGTAGAATATATCATTTGGATGTGGACGTTTTGAAGTATACAAACGCGTTGATTTCTTTGATTTATTTGATTCGCCACTAGATTTTAAAGCATTCATTTCTGTTTCACTAAGTTGCAATTTGGTCATATCACCAAATTTCTCATGATAATATTTATCTTCTTCAGAAGATGGAATTAAATGTTTAGCTGATGATTTATCTATGAGATAGTTTCTTGGTGCCATTCCGTCAGCAAGATAAGGACGAAGTGACTCACTAGAAGTAATTTTATCCACAGGATGTAACATAGCAGATGTTAAAAGTGAGATAGCTTCATTATTTACAGTGAATGTTTCGTTATGTCTGGTGAAGTAATCAAAATATGTCAGTATTAATTTTTACTCTTTCAATATTTACAAAAAAAGCTGACGAGTATAATAGCAGATCATAGTTCGTTGGGATAAAGGTTGTGGACAGATATCCCTTTACATCGTAACTACACTGAATAAATGTTACACCCACTCTACTTACACATGACATACTAAAAGTGAATGGCATTCTGAAGTTTTGTATAACTTCACAGTGCTGCTGCTCTAAAGAGCACTTATTGGAACTGTGATTTGACGACCAAGAATCAGAGATGACAGCCAGATACTAATTTCATTAGCAAATGACAGAATCGAGAAATTCATATTCTCCATTGATTTATTTGTTAAATGACATCTAATCAGGTTTATTTCTGTGTGCTATGTTGTACAGAAATATGTTATTTCACTAAAAGAACCTATTCTTCTATCCGGCGGTCTTGTCTTCACTATCTGTTCATCCTAAGGTTTTCATTTATAATCTGGTATCCTTAGAACTACATAGTACTTGATCTACCACACCCAAGCCCATCAATAAGCGCCGTACTTGGACTCTAAAACAACATTGTGGTTGTCAGTGAAAATCTTTTGGCCATCAAGACGATCATCTCGACTGTCATCGACCCAGTACAACCCGATCTAGAGGTGAAAGCGGACTCATTTCAAATCTATCGAAAGCTCCTTTAGTCGGTTAGCAAAGTGTAAAATTATAACCTCTTGGGGGATGGTGTTTCCCACTGTACATATTAATGCGTACCCAGATAGATGCGCTTCGGATATTATGATGATGTCGTGGAGGTTTTGGAGGATGACGAATGACTTCCATATCCAGAAAACAATTCAGACAGCTCCCGGATGTTGTGTAAGTCATTTATGTCTGTTGGGGTAACAGCAATGCACCATGCCCTTCCAAGAAGTCACGTTCCCAGGGTTGTACTATTTAACACAAGCTGATCTACACTTACTCGAACTTGATTGATTCAGCGGGTTACAGTAATCCAATATCATCTTAAATACTGCATGCAACTTAGAGAAAGAACCTAATGAACGCAATCATTTTTAACCTGGTTTGGGTCACTTCTAAGCCATAAAAACTATGGAGCTAAATCATTTTTCCGTCTGGAAAGACTACTATCTTACGCGCCGCTGTCTACAGTTGACGAAGAACTTCGTCGTTTTTAGGAGAGAGATATTATAACGCCTGGGCTGCACCTATCGCAGCAACCACATTCCAACCATATCATGTATAAACAATCAAATTAAGCTGTTAGTATAGATAATTTACTTTGCAAACTATTACTACTTAACCAGTTGAGGTTTAAAGTTGTCGATAAAAACCAGTGAAAATAATTCTGTTGATCAAATATCTGTTAGCATGTTACCAACAAACAGTGATTATTTCATTGTATAAAATAACGGTAACAACAATAAGACACAATAACAATTAAAACGTACTCTAAGTCAGATTGTAATTTACACAATTCTACTCGTGGAGAATACCAAGCTAAATTATATGGTAACATTGAATCCTCAGCTTTCCATAACGATGTTATTGAATTCAATTGAAAGCGTAACAACTGAATATGGTTACCATCCATTAGAATTAGTTGGACGCAAAGTGGATAAGTTAATTCATTATATAAAGTAAAACCTTAAAAAATGTAAACAGAATAGGATTACAAGAAGCGACTAAATTAAACGCTATGAAATTTATACAATGCTAGACGAATTTTCAATACAAATCAGTTGCTGGTTTAAGAAATGGCACCATAAAATGAAACGATGCTATAAATTCCAAAGTTAGTTAAAGGATCCGTGATGAGGACAACAAGTAACACTGAACTGACTGTGATAAAAAAATGCTTGAGAGTTCAGTTCAAGTTATAGATCACGGATAAGTACAGTTAAAATGTTTTACAATGGAATCAGACAGCTGATATTTAACAGCTCATGAAAAATACTTTTGGAAACTATTTTTTTCTACATTCTAAGCAAAGATGGATAGTGGCTGGCAGTGGAGTCCAGTTTGGCGCGCATTTCGTCCTATTTGGGACTCGTCAACTGGATGTACTTCAGTCAGTCAGTCAGCTACAACGTAGGACCAGACAAATCTGTGCATCAGTCCAAGTTGCCATACCTCATTAGCACAACACCGAATTCATAGAAGTAGTCACTTCAATGGTGGTAATATATAAAAGAAAGATTGAATATAAGGATATAGTACAGGAAGAATTAGTTCGTAGAAACAAAGATATAAAGCAATTTTAATCTCATAGTTTAAGGGAAGATAGAGAGTGTATACACTGACGCTATTGCGATCGATTCTGAACCATGTCACCCAGAGTCTCCAACCACTGGTCACAATAGTCATGTGGACCCCAACCAGGTAGTCTGCATCTACCAACATGGTTCAGACTAGAAGTTATTGACTTCAAGAACTGATGCCACGTTTTGGTTTGGCCGCCCCTAACTTTCTTCCAACCATCCCCTACACTAGTCAGCATTGTGCGTTGTGGTGATCGGTCTTCATACATATGTACCACGTGGCCCAACCATCTCAATCGATGAAGATTCACAACCTCATCAATTAATAATTTACCATCATGCCGTAATACCCTGAGTTCAACCTCACTATTACTTATCCGGTGATCCCAGCAGATGAGAGCAATATTTCTAAGGCATTTGTGGTTAAATACTAGTAGCTTACGAATATCTTCTACTCTTAACGGCCACGTTTCGCAGCCGTAAAGTAAAACAGAACGAGCTATCGCGTAGTATACTCGTCCCTTAATTGATAGACGGATGTACCTGCATCTCAAATTTGATTGTGTTTGAAGCGAACGGTAATGCATTCGAGTCGCTGAGTGAACATAGACTCTGAAATGCAGGTACACCCAAGTAGGACGAAACGCGTGCCAAACTGGATTCTACTGCTAGCCACTATCCATCTTTGCTTATAATGCTTGTGGAGTAAGACACTATCGAGGCAATACGCACAGTATGCACATATGCCAATATGAGACTGATCAATTGCAGTCCTAAACATCAATGAAAGGATTCAAGTCAACAATACCAAGTGAATTTATTTTGTCTATATTTTGATTAAGTGAGTGTGTAAACGAAAGTGAAATGAAAACAAACGCAATTAATTGTTTACACTAACCTTGATTGTAAGCTTGGGCTGACGCCCATGCAAATGCTGTAAGAACACCCTCAGCGATTCCATGTCGTATTAAAATATTATTTTTTACATTATCTGGAAGACCAGAACAACTAATTTCATTTCGTACACATTCGGAACGATTTAAATCAAGAACTCCAAGTAAACCAAATTCACAAGGATCTCCTTCCCAGAATGGTGTGCGAGACCAATAACCTGTATTTTTCATAACACAAATTAGAAATGATTAGATACAATTAGGTATGGGAACAATAATCTTAAAGACAAACAATGTGATTACTACCATCCAGCTCATAGAACGAAATTCCACCACAATTATCTACCTGAGCTACAAATCTTCTCTACCATCTTAAAGTGATTACTAGATGTGATAACTAATTTATATGATCAAACCAATCCTATGGAAAATCGAGTTCAGCCATCAGCATGCAATGCTTTACATTTCAACTAGTTAGTGAAATGTGACCAATAAAGTCCAACTATGTTAAGTGTAAGGCAGTTACCTAACATTGGAATTGAAGGATAGTAACGCAATATGACAGCTTGGTTGAAATTAAAATTATCAACCAATGAATGCTGACTCAGTAGTATAAGCGCTCGAAGCCAGTCCTTGAAGTTCTGGGTTTGATTCTCGGGGTAATCATAGATGTGGGCTGCTTAGTTTCATAGTGGAATGAAATAGCGGTCCACTGCTTTCAGGTTCTCAATGGACGTCGAATTAAAGTCAGTTTGTGATGCAAACTATGAAAATCAACAATCCTTACAACTCCTTACGGTAATGATTATTATAAGTTCACTTCGATGACAGTTTAAAACGAAGAAATGAAAATATGAAATACCAAAGTACTAATCATAATTAAAAAAGTGACAATAATAATAGTATTTATTGTCACAAGTCACCTGCAATAGATCGAGCAAATTCGGAAAAATCGATCGTTCTTGCAAATGGTAAACAATTGAAATTATAACACTCAATATGTTGCAAATCAAATGCTTCTGGGCGATAATTGCATACAATAGGGTTTTCTAGAAAGCAAATTGGATCGTCTAAATTAAAATGCTAAATGTTTTTTTAAAAAAAAGACGGAAATAACTGAATTGTGTGAAAATCTGTGTTATACAATTTAAAAATATGAAGATCTACACAAACACTAACTAATATTTGTTATAATCAGAGATGCAGCTCTAAGTGATCAGTTCAGTTGAAATATCATTCCGTGGTAATAAAAATTAGCTGTCACATTGCACAAACGTATGTTAACACATCAAATTATTATAACTAAGAATAATAAGTGCTCTAAGATTACCCGTAATTATGTAATCTTTTTTTCTGATTATCCGTCCTACTACATAATATAAATAGGGATCAAAAGTCTAAATTTTCAGTGACGAATTCATGCTTAATCTAACTGACTAACCATCGCACAAATAAATGGCTACACGTATAAAAATTACTATGCAGTCCATAAGTTGAATTCTATATTGTAAGATATATTTGGTAATTTGTCAAATAAAATAATGGCTGATCATACACAACAGTATAGAGAGAGATAGGAATAGTTTTAGACTTATGCAGGAACACGATAATTTACCTACATAAATCTATTCTTGTATTACCGTAAGTTAAGAACGTAAAAATTCGACAGTCTTATGCTAGTAAACTGCATCAAACACTTTAAGCGAGAAATAGTTGAAAAAAGTGCCTTTATTCAAGTTACGGTACACTTCGCCTATATTTATAGCTCGTTTATACATGTCGATTTCTGTTAGGATGGGGGAAATAAATGGAGACATGATACAGAAGATGGTTATCTGAGTGAATCAGTATACATTATATATATATATATATATATAATATTTTTATACCGAGCCCACTGTCGGCTTGTATTCGTGTTTTTAATTATTACTGTGACATTTACCACGAACTTCCTAGGTATGTAAATATTGAGATTTATTATTTAAAGTGCATGCAAAATACACTTTAACAGTAGTTTCATGTGAAATTATGCTTACTTACAGGCTTTAAAGGAAATGGTCCCCGCAACTGCCAAGCTAACTCAGACCGAATACGATAATGTACACAACGTTCGACGTCAACAATTGTCTCGTTTACGGGTTCATAAACATCTTCATTTACATTCTCGAAGTTTTCAAACACTTCGTGATCGACTAGTCGTTTTAAAAATATTTCTATGGTAGCGCGTTCATCAATTTGTGTGGATAACTCGTTAACTAGTGATTCTGTTCTAGCAGATAAAAATGCCCGATATACTGTTTCCATAATCATTGATATTTTTTTGCGTCGATAATCTGCACGTAAATTAAGTCCATTAATACTCTGATCATGGATATTAACAGGTTTACTGTTAACAGAATGTAACTCTTCAGAAAAAAGATACTTTAAATAACTCGACAAAATTGGATTGCAGTCGTATGACTCTGGTATCCATGGAATGAGTTTTGTACGCGTGACAAATTGAGAAAATTCTAACATTTCAGGATGTTGTAAAGGAATATCAATGGAATGAAACCACATGTTATCTTCAAGAAAATACAACTCCTGGAGTTTTTCAAATGACGTTGGTATAGTTTTTAAGAATTCACCATGACGAAACCTATAAGTGATATAAAATAAGATTTTAGAAGTTATAATTGACACTGAAACTGTAGTATAATAATTTACATGTGCAGTAAACCAAAGTGATTTGACGTTCAGAAATACTATATAGGATGACTTAAAAATTGACAAGACACTGAGCATCGGATATACTACTTAAGTCTAATTTGAACCTTAGTCCGTTATAACATTAAAAAACAGTCATAGAGCCTCAAAGTTCTGAATAAAAAATGTGCACTCCAGACAACACAAACAGTGACCACTAAATACAATCACATTTCTAATATCCTTAAACATTTAAAACAGACTGTACTAATTATCTTAGTTAAAAAGATACTTACGTAGCTTCTACGAATTCGATGTTTTGCAGTGACATTTATTCTGTACCTTATAAACCAGTGTTATCGAATCCGAATTCTTCCTTCTACATCCTTTACATTTGCAAAGAAATTTTCAACGATAAAAGAATGAAATTCTTATTTCGACATGTCTCTTAACAAACTGAGGTATGAAATATCATACGAACAGCAGTTCTCTATCGAAATCTATCATGTAAAATCCTTTCCAGTTGTTTCCAATTGATATTGATTCTTTCGATGTCTGCTTCCGATTCTCAGGGCAGTGTGTTTCTTGGTCTTCCTCTTCCCTTCAGGATTCCAAGTTAGCACTCGCTTCGAGATGCATTTGGTGATTTTCGTAATGTATGTCCTGTTCACCAGAAACGTCTTTTCTTAATCTTCTCTTTACCCCGAAGCTGGTTTGTTTGCTCCTACAGTAGACTGTTGCTTGTGGTATCCGGTCAACGGACATTGATTACCTTGCGTAGACAATTGTTTATAATTACTTGTACATTTTTGCTGATGGTTGTGGTAGTTCTCGAAGTTTCGGCTCCGTACAGTAGAACTGTCTTGACGTTCGTATCAAGGATTCTGACTTTGGTGTTGGCTGACAGTTGTTTTGAGTTCCATGTGTTCTTCAGTTGTAGGAATGGCACCCTTGCATTGCCAATCCTTGTCTTAACCTTTGTACCAGATCTTCCTTGTTTATCAATGATGCTGTTCAGGTATGTGTAAGTTTCCACCTCTTCTACAGCTTCTCCAGCAAATGTGATTTGGTTGGTGTTCTCTGTGTCCTATTTAAGGATCTTGCTTTTTCCCTTGTGCATGTTGAGGCTTCTGCTACACTGGTTGTCTTCATCTGCATTTTTTCGTGTGTATGAGATAGAAGAGCCAGGCCATCTGCAAAGTCCAAATCGTCTGGTCGCATACGAGTTGTCCATTTTATTCCGTTCTTCCCCTCAGATGTAGAAGTCTGCATAATCCAGTCGACCACCATAAGAGAAAGAGGGAGATTAAGCAGCCTTGTCTGATTCCATTCCTCACTTGGAATGCGTCTGTCAGCTGTCTTACATGCACGGCTTTTCAGTGTAGTCCGTCTTGTAAATTCCGTTTGATGTTGATGATTTTCCCAGGCATATCATAGTGTAGAAGAACGCTCCATAAGATTATACTATCCACACTGTCACACAATTTCGCATAGTCGAAGAAGTTTATGTGTAGTGACGAATTTCATCTAACCGACTTCTCAACAACGATCTGTAATGTCGCCATTTGATCTGTGCACAACTGATCGTTGCGGAATCCAACCTGTTCATCTCGAAGTTTGGCGTTTACTGGATCTTTTATCCGGTTAAGCAACACTGTGTTTGAAACTTTTCATGGTACACGTGCTCAGATTTCTTTTCTTTGGTATCTTTATGAGGTATCTTTCTTTCCAGTCTGCCGGTGGCAATTGTTCTCTCCGCTGAATCTTCCTGAATAGAACGTGGAGCATGCTTGCAGTTACTTCTATGTCTGACTGCAGTGTTTCATCTGGCATGTTGTTAGGTCGTTCTGCTTCCCCACTCTTTATTTGTCTGGTGGCCTTCCTAACTTCCTTGATCGTTGGTGGAGCGACATCCATAGTCTGTGTGTGCTGCTTCGATTTCCGCTGAAACCAGTGGGGCTACTCTATTCAAGAGTCCTTCAAAGTCCTCTACCTACTTGTTCCATTGTTCTTGAATCTCAGTGATTGACTTACCCTCTTTGTTCTTGACTGTTCTCTATGGTTTACAATATTCGCCTGCTAGTCTCGTCGTTGTATCATATTTCCTGCTCTTGTAGCTTTTCCGTTGGCGTTGCTAGATTTTTTATGTATTTTCGCTCGTCAGCTCCAATTTTCCTCTTCACTTTTTTGTTTGCTTCTGTATGTTCAGCCTGTGCCTTGACTTGTTCTGCTTTTGTTCGACTATTGTTAAGCGCTGCCTTTTTATTTTTCCTTTCTTGAATCCTATCAAGGGTTTCGATCGAGATTCATTCCTTATGATAATACTTCTTACGGCCCAGAACCTTCTGACATGTTGAAGTTAGTGCTTGTTTGATCCCTTCCCAGTTGTTCTTCATGGTAGTTTCTTCTTTTTAAGTTTATCCTGTAAGGCTTGGAACCTGTTGCTGAGAGCTATCTTGAATTCATTGAGTTTGTCAGTATTCTGAAGGAAAGCTGTATTAAACATTTGCAATGTTTCTCCAATTGTCTAGTGTCTCACTAACTTCAGTTTCATTTTGGCCACAATCAGGTGGTGATCTTAAGCTATGTCAGCCCCTCTCTTGTTTCTCATATCTTCCAAGTGACCTGAATTTTAAATTCGAATATGATCGATCTGTTTCTCTGTAGCGTGATCCGATGAGAAACATGTAGCTTTGTGCATCTGTTTGTGGAGGAACATAGTGTCGAACAAACATTTTGTTCAATGCATATAAATCTGCAAATCCCTTACCATTCTCCCAGTCCATGTCGTCTCATGGTATTTTCATACCTAATGTTGTCCATTCCGATAATGGCGTTTAGGTCTCTTATCTGGATGGTCAAGTCCTTTTCTAAACATTTCTCTACGATCGATTTTAACCTTTTATAAGACTGATTTTTATCATTGGTCGGCGCACAGAACTGGGTAACATTCATTATGATCCCGTTCTTCTTTTTTTTCAAGAATCCTTAGATGGTCCTGGATCCATGAGATTCTCATCCTGTAAGTGCTACGCTAGATAGAATCAGTTCAACTCCTTGTGTGCTCAAAGGGTTTTCTTCATAACTGAAGTACAACAGAATCTCTCCTGAACTTAAATTTTTCTGTTCAGCATCTGTTAGTGAACTGTAATGACTACTGGATTCAAGAAACTGTCTAATTACGATAACAATTGAACATGAAGTTCCGAATGTTTTTTGGGGAATATTCTAGCTAGAAATATGGGCAATGTTGCCAAACGATAAAAACTCAGCTGAACATGAAATAATCCATTCATTACCGATCAGTAAGTTACATATATATATATATATATATATATATATATATATATATATATATATATATATATAAAGCATACGATAAATTACCTTAATCTCTTTATACTATTGTCTGTAGAACCCCACTGACCAACAATATCCACTTGTTTACTCGGAAAGCTATCAGGTGGTGCTTCATCATAAAAAGGGAGTGAATGATGTGGTGGTGGGTTGGATCTTTTAGATCGTAGTTTGTCATAAAATGGTTGTTTGGACAAAACTGGGGAAGACGAGATGTGTCGGGCAACGTCACGAAATCTTGGTATTCTGCACGTCAATCGCAGTGACATTTAAGTGATAACAACAGCTAAAGCGTTTGAGAAAACACATGTATTACAAAACCAATAGAAAAAATATATATCAGTAGTATATTTTGACGTTTGGAGTCATGCAATTCGAAACTTAAATAAAATTACACATTGTGCTTTAGACACTACAAAGGAGGTAAATATTTGAGCTGTATATATCGTGAAAAATAAGTTAGTGGTAAAATTAATATATTGATGAACCAATCAAAACTACGCTAGCCGTTAGATTTGCGGGAAACTCAGTGATTTTCGACAGCACAGAAGCATATTACATACCTCTACTCAGAGCTGAACATATTAGGGATCGAAAAAGAGGGTAACTTTGTAGCATCTCGCAGTTCAAATGACATAGAATCATAGAATCAAGGAGAGCGATAGCTCTGAACCTAAAGCTCGTTTTGAGCATGACATTGTACTGATTAGGCAGCTGCTTAATCAACTTATGCCTCAAAATATGACCGGGGTCACCTTGCTAAAGGTGTACAGACGTTGAGTCTAGCGGACTCGAAACCAAATCATTCCAGACTGCTTAAAGTAGTATTCGGCTCTTCGAACGAACGTGAACTAATTTTACAAAATGGACACAAATTAAAGGGTTCAGGAGTCTTTATCCGAAAGAACCTACCGTTGGCAGACCGTGTTAAAAGACGGGAAGCCGAGAAAGAACTACAACATAGGTTAAACGCTGGCGAAAAGGACCTGAAAATTGTAAATTTTCGGGTTGTAAGACTTCGACAGAGAATGATGCCGAAGCCACTCTGGGTGAAGCACGAAGGCACTTAAAGAGGCTTCGGATCTGTTACACCAATGCACGAAGCTTACTTAATAAGCGATCAGAACTAGGTGTACAGATTGACTCTACAAAGCCAGATATAATCGCAGTAACAGAAACCTGGCTGACACAGGCTATAGATAGTATAGAACTTGATTTCGAGGGCTTTACGTTAGTAAGGGCCGACAGAACACAAAAGCGCAAAGGAGGGGGAGTAGCTCTATTCATTAGGAATGCTATCCCATTTACCATTATCGATAGTGTATCCCATGAGAGTGGGACGTGTGAATTAGTTAGTCTTCGCTTAAAATGCAAGGGGCAAGAGCTGCTGATTGGTTTGGTCTATCGCAGTTCAAGCTGTGAGGCAAATGAAATCCTGTTAAGCAGTCTCAATACTTGGTCCCAAAGTGGTCGATGTCTAATCCTAGGGGACTTTAATGCACCTATGGTAGACTGGGAAACTCTGCGAACTAAATCGTCGGAGAATTCTTTCGAGCAGGAACTAGTTGATGGGGTTATCACATGTGCTCTAGTGCAACATGTGAAAGAAGCGACAAGGTACGATCCGGACACTGAATCATCCTTATTAGATCTTATACTGACTCACTATGAGGATGATGTTGCGAACCTCCATCATATGCCACCCTTAGGTAAAAGTGACCACGCAGTTTTAACTTTCGACTTCCATATAACTGCCAGTCATGAGGACGCGTCAGTCCAGTCCAGACCCAATGTCTGGAAAGCAAACATACCAGATATCATGCACTCAGCATCGTTAATAGATTGGACAATAGACCCACAGTCCTCCATTGAAACGGCCTGGGACGCATTTCGAAATTCATACTTAAAAGTTACCACACCTCACATCCCTTGGACTATACCAAAGGGGCCGAAAAACACCACCATGGTTCAGTAGGGAGGTCCGTATCCTTCTCCGTAAGAAAAGGAAAATGTGGGATAGATTTAGGTTACTGGGGACTGATGAGTCAAAATCTCAGTATCTAAAGGCTCGGAACACTTGTGCCTCGACCCTCCGTAAGTCTAGAAAATTGTACGAAGAAAAACTTGTTAAGGAATCCATAGAATGTCCTAAACGCTTGTATTCCTGCTCTATGGGGAGACAGTACTGCTTCATCATTAGTGGAGGACGACTTTGGTAAGGCTCAAGTGTTCTCGAACTACTTTAGCAACGTGTATACCATAGAAGCGCCCTTCTCGTCAGCGTATACAGATCCCCACATACATACACTGGACAGCGTGACCATTAAAGAACTTGATGTCTTTGGTCTGCTAAATAAGCTTGACATAGGTAAATCCACGGGGCCCGATGAATTACATCCTAGGCTATTGAAGGAATTATCTAACTTCGTTGCAAGCCCTTTATGTACATGTTATAACCTATCCGTTACGCAGGATCGCTTACCAAAAGATTGAAAAAACGCCATAGTAAGTCCTGTCTTCAAAACAGGCACGAAACACAAACCTGAGAACTACCGCCCCGTTAGCCTAACTAGTGTGGTTGTTAAAATATTAAAAAAGATTATTCGGAAGGAGCTGTTTAAGTATCTCGATAAAAACCGGATCCTCTCGGAGAAGCAGCACGGCTTCAGAATAGGTTATTCTTGTCTCACTAACTTATTAGTGGCTCGTGAAAGTTGGTGTGCTCTTAAGGACCAAAAGCTACCTGTAGACGTCGCCTTCATTGATTTCAGTAAAGCTTTTGATAAAGTTCCGCACAACCGGCTGTTATATAAGTTAAGAAAAGTCGGGATTGGAGGCAATTTATTGATGTGGATAAAAGACTTCTTAGTTGGGCGTCAACAAAGAGTTCGGGTCAACTCAAAATTATCTAGCTGGGAAACTGTGCTTAGTGGAGTGCCCCAGGGTACAGTTTTGGGGCCAGATCTATTCCTCTTTTATGTAAATGACATTCCTCGTCTCCTATCATCATCGGTCTTGCTATATGCTGACGATGTCAAGATATGGAGAACGATACGATGTAAGAGTGATAGCTTAGAACTTCAAAATGACCTGAAGAAGTTATCTGAATGGTCTCAAACATGGCAGTTGCCGATAAATACTTCCAAGTGTGTTGTGATGCATATCGGTCATCAAGGCACAGATACATACACGATGAATAACACTGAGCTACCTGTCGTCCAGACATATAATGACTTAGGAGTTATCGTTAGTCAAGGCTTAAAGACTACTGCACACTGTCGTGCAATAGCCGCAAGAAAGTTTTAGAACGTTATGGTCAATACGTAGGGCTTTTAGTCATGTCGACGCTAAGACGTTTTTGACTTTGTATACAGTGTTCGTACGTCCTAAACTTTAGTACTGCATACAAGCGGCTAGCCCCTGTTTAAAAAAAGACAGTGAGCTTCTGGAAAAGGTTCAGAGAACGGCGACTAAGCTGATTCCCGGAATGGCGAAGCTTCCGTATGAATCTCGACTGGTTAAGCTGAACCTTTTCCCGTTGTCATATCGCAGAACTAGAAGCGACTTGATTACAGTCTACAAATTGCTTAGTGATAAATTTGCACCTAACATGTCCTTATTTTTCTTGTTTTCCAAAACAGAGAATTTACGAGGACACTCCAAAAAAGTTCATAAGCCGAGAACAAATTACTTGTCAGCTGACTATCGACTTTCTCATCGAATCATCAACGAGTGGAATTCACTACCTCAGCACGTGGTTGAGGCTCCATCCGTCGACTCTTTCAAAAGAAAGTTGGATCAACTGAGAGACCACCATTGCCAGGACTAACATAGGCCATCGAGCCTCCTGTCCTTCCCAAACTGAAACTGAAACATGTGAAAACAAAACAACACGATACTAGCTCTTTCTTGACATAAATTTCTTTTAAACCCATACGTTTTTTTGGAAAAAAACATACATAACTTGTACGTTTTTGATCTTTTTCCTTTACTCGAAATATAATCCAATATAAATATATTGTTGCTGGGGAAATTTCGCCTTAGATTGCTTAAAAAGGTTATAAAACTCTTTCAACCTGTCAGTTTATTAGTCATGCAAGTTTTGTGTAGAAACACTATATAAAGTCACTAGAAGTAATTTTCTAAAGGATTTTTAGGATGTTAAACGGCTTACCCATATACATACATATTAGATAGGAAACGTATGGAGCAACTATTCTGAACCTAGCCCGATTATAAGCCATAAACCCTCTGTAAAGTGTGAGGACGTTGAACAGAAAGTGATCTGGCGACATACAAGAGAGATATTCAACATTTTGTCTTTACAATAGCGTTGCACATTGACCACTAGTATATGAGTATGAACCAAAGTCATCTCTAACTCTTTTCTCTCGGCAAGATCCCAAGTTAGGACAAATATAAAGCTCTAGGGACTCAAATAATTTGTCTTATAAGACATCAGAATAGGAATACTTGATTCCTTGGCAAGTACATACATATAAATTCGTATCAAAACTTTTTAGTACGCTGATTAATTTACTATAGTTGTAGCCACATTTGTAACTTACTTCTTTGAAAGAATATAAACCAGGAGAACGTTTACTTTCATGAAATTCGCAATCTACTGAACACCAGACTACTTTGTGTAGCGCAGTACATCAAATAAATGTACAGACGGGTCATATGATTGTGGATTGAATAGAGAAACATTCATTTGACTAAACTGAGCCTGGCTGTAATAAGTCGTAGTTGAGTACAAGTGGAGGCTGAAGTATGCGTAAAGGGCAGAAATTAAAACACCTTGGTTTTAACATTATTTAAGACATCGAGAAGATTCAGTATAACCTGTGTTACTTCGTCTTCTTCGTTTGAAGAAGTCTAAGTCTTTTTTAGACTAAGTCAGATTTCAAGTGAATTCAAGACTCCAACCCTTTTAAAGAAGAGAAGTAAATGCTCACAATCTAGTCTATTATATAATGCCTGGAGTTCCCGAGTGCTTCTACTGTGGTTTGTGTCAAGACTGGACTTACAGGATATTCATGAATGCTTATAATGCTGTCGGTCGAAATAAAAAAGCCTTTGAGCCTCATAATTTTTAAATAGTATAGATCCTGTGTTTTCGAGGGTTGAAACCATTTTAAACCACGAAAGTTAGTTGGTTGCTACCCACTGAACTTAGAAGTCATGTCAAATCCTCTTAACAGCATATCTCTCCTCTCGGTTGCAGTCTTGACTTGGAAGCCTTATATCACTAGCAACAGATAACAGCCCGAAGATAACTTCCAAGTGATGTTGTCCACAGAGGTTAAAGGGAATAAAAGTTCAAGGTTGGATACGAATCCACTGGTCGTTCTAACCCCTGTCTTTCAAATCTTCAGAGCAAGTTTTTCCGCTCGTTTTAAGCTTTTATTCATACTCTTCACAACTTTATTTGTTACGTCCAGCCTATTTTACTCTAGTTTCCGCATAGATTCCGGTATTGCGTGGTGATTGGTTGCTCCCCATACTCTTGTAGTTTAAAGACCGACATTACATCTAATGACTACGAATACAAAATAATGAACGAAATAACGCACCAGGGAGTACTGTCACATAGTTATTCAATAATGTCCTTACGATCGAATGGTAATAATGATATGATATAACAGTAAAAATTTACTCCTGACGTATCACGTTCGGTCCATCTTCACAGATATGATCGATAACTTACAAAAAGCGTTTATGATTGAGATACTAAGTTGGTGAGGTTAATAAAAAGACGAACCAGCAAAACGCGACAAGGAAATACCTAAGTGAATATGCAAACAATGTGCTGGACAAGTTTATGTAATGGAACTGAAGATGCCATAGTTATTAAAAGTTTGACAACGCCATTACACGTAATACCATTATAATTGAAGTATATCACTCAGTAAAATCATAAGTCAGAAACTAAGAAGTTCGAAGATGGACCTGGTAAGCTACCGATATATCAGGGAGCGTTTGGTCTAAGCTAGCTGATAGTTTAAGGGGACCCGTAGCACGACGTATTCACTCGTCATCTGATGCGGATGCGTAACCGAGTGCCATCAGCTAGAGTGAGTCCAGCAAAACTAATGAAGTCGGTATCAATGTCAAAGACTTACAGAACCATTGGTTTATTGGGATTCGTTTACCGCTAAAGCTTATTCTCTCCTAGTGAATAGTGATGACCCTACGACGTAGTCAGCCAGAATTCCAAGCCCAACGAGCTTGTTGCTAGTAAAGACTGATATTTTGCTATGTTCATCAGCATCTGGCTGTCTTTCCCTAATATAAGGGGCCACGTGATACAATAAAGTAACGAGAAAAAATGTGAAATGAAAATTTCTATGAATCTTAATCTTCATTGGTTTTCCATTTTTTTCCAGTCATCCTGGGAAAGATAAAGGATATGTAAGTACATTTCCAAATACACCCGTACGTGCGTCAGGATACAAAACAGAATAAAGAAAACACATTGGTATACATTCGTTGCCCTAAAGTCCAACATCGTAAAAACAATTTCGGGATAACGATATTTTTGAATTTTTAAAAAAAGTACACACACATGAGCACACAAAAATGTTTGTTTTTGTTTTTGACACAACAGTAAAAACAAACGAGGTTAAACAAAATGTTATTCAGTGTCTTACGAGTACTAGTCGTTTGGGTGTTCTAAAAACCCAGCCCTCCATCCAGAGCTCATTGTTTTCGGCCGGCCGTCAGATGCGAGCGAATTGTCGTCATGATTTTTTATTATTGGGTGGGTTGTCACGATAGTGAGGCTAGTGTCGTTTGAGTGCATAGGAAGAAAATCAACATAGTTAGGGTCTTCTTTTAAATACGCGGCTTTAAAACGATCAATTCTAACATAGTCGTTAGGGCCATATTTGTTGATGATATCACATTTAGGTTTCCTATCAAGGACTGTGAAGGGTCCTTTGTATGCTATTTCGAGAGGTCTTCATATTGAATAATGATGTGCAAAAGCGTCTACACTATGTTGTAAAGCAAGTCGGACGAAAACACCAGTTGACTGAATGCGTGGTGTTTGTAAGCCTGCTCGTGTAGAAGTCCAGATCCACATTCACTGAACGAGATGAAGAAGTGTTGTTCCGTAAACGAGTTGTGCTGCATTGTATCCACCATCAGCTTCGATTGCATTGCAACTATCGAGTAAAATGTGTAGAAGTGAGTCAGTCCACTATGAAACGTTCGCAGCTGAGAATGAAGCTTTTAACTATCGACGAAACCGTTCTACCAACCCTTAAGCTTGTGAGCGGAAGGTGGTCATTCGAAATCGTGTAAATCTTAGTAATGTAGTAAGACAACGGGAAAGTACGGATTCGAACTAGTGTCCGCGGTCTGTAGGGATAATAGAAGAGCAGCTAAAGATTTCTATCCACCGTTTGAAGAAGGCATTGTTTCGGTAGTAATGTCCTTGATGGGTACTACTTCTGGCCATCATGCGAAACAGTTTGCATACGTTAAGAGGTAGCACTGTCAATGTGAATCTGATAAAAGTTCTGTCAGATCAGAAAGGAACTGTTCAGAATGAGCATCGGGAGTTTTGTAAGAGCCCAAGCGATATTTGTTGTGTCTAATCACCATCGATTTCGAGCAGTCTGCACAGTAACGTGTCCACTCCCTCACGTCTTCACTCACACCATGCCAATGAAATCGTTTTGCGATCAAATCGACAGTTGCTCGAACACCTGGATGAGAAAGGATGTGCAGCATGTTGATTGTGTTTCGGCACGGTTGAACGATCCCTACATGTAGATCTATCGCACAGTGAAGTTCCCTTACCTTTTCCCATATGTTTAGTACTCAGTTTCAGGGTTGTGGAAGTTAACTCGCGCTGAAGATCAGAGTCTTGTTTTTGAAGCTGGTTTAGTTTAAGAAGATCGACTCCTTGGAAACTGTTACACTAGACAAGGCGTCTGCAACTATATTGTTTGCGTCATAAATCTGTTGTGTATCTGAAGTAAACTGCTAAATATAGTCCAGTCGTTGAGACTATTGAGAGGAATACTTTCCTGAAAACGAGCTTGGAAAGAGGGTGAAATGTGTGTAATCTGTTAAAAGAGTGAATTTTTGGCCTTCCACGAAGCGTTGAAAGTGTCGTACAGCACAATGTGTGGCTAAGGATTCTCTATCGAAAGCATCATACCTCGATTCAGTGTCTGTCAACCTCTTTTAATAGAATGTCAAGGATTACCTGTGTTGTCCACCTATTGCTATAAGACTATTCCGATTATCGAGCTGGATACGCCTACTGCTATACTATTGGGTGCTTTGATTTCATGATGTGCTAGCATAGTTGCGTCTGAGATAATTTACTTAATTGTAAAGAATGAATTTTTGCATTATCGTTTAAATTGGTAAGTTTCGCATGTCCCCGATGTTGGTCTATTGAAGGTTTCACGAGAGACGCGCACTTCGTATGGACCGTCGGTGAAAACTTGACAGGAAAATGAGCGTACGTAATTGCTTGACTGTGGTCAGTTCTGGGTAGTCAAGAAAGGCTGTTACTTCGTTTTTAAAGGAACGGATGCCTTGAGCATCAACGTTTCCGATAAAATCTAGAGAGTCGGTTTCATTCTGAAGTTTCTAGATGTTCGCAGTGATGATATGCTTTTGCAGTAGTTCGAAAACAAGGTTCAAACTCTGGAGGTGAGATTCTATATTCAGACTTGCGACAAGTAGTCATTTACATGCGCGTGTACGAAGTCAGGAGAAAGAAGTCATCGACGATTCTCCGAAACGTTTTACAGCACCTCTTAAAATTCGTAGAGTTAGTGATAGTGGTTTCGGGAATGTCGCCTGCAACCACAGGAATTCGGTTGCATGCTTTGACCAGATCAATTTTAGAGAAATCAGTTGTATGTTTCAAGGCAACTATCGGGTCACAAATGTGCAACAAATGGTAACGACCTGGAGTGGTTTTCTTACTGTATAGCCGATAATCACCAGTTGGACGCCAATCGTTGCCACCCCTTTTTTGAGAACATCTGCTAGAGTGATGCCCATGGGCTAGTCGCCGCACTTTCGAAAAGTCAGGCGGTCCTGTAGTCATGATATGATGTTCAACGTTGCTGGTTACACACGGTAAGTTTGGTCACGTTTGGTACGTTTTGGGGACTTGTCGAGTATTTGTTGGTAGTATTGATCGATTATGTGCTTAAAAGTTACTGGGAATAAACTGCAACCAGAAAATGAAAATCTACAAACGGACAATCTATTATTTTCGTCTAATAACTTTCGTTCGCACGTGTCCATGAGTAGACTACGCGGTTGTACCAGGTCTATACCAGCGATTGGTATAGAAACATCCGAAACAACGAGCTAGAGTGGAGCATGCAAATGCATATACGAAGTGTGCAGAAATAAAAAAATGACCTGGAGGAAGCACCATACCTTGATGGAAAAGATCTAGAAACTTTAGAATAAGTATCTGCAAAAGAAGGAAATACGAAGAAGTATATGACAAAAGCTCATGGCGAAATACGGCAAATCAGTGACCAGCCAGGGGCAAAAACGACAATTGACAATTCAGAAAGGGGAAAAATGGGTAGAATATTTCGATGAGCTCTTGAGTAGATCAGCTCCACTGAATCCAGCGAACATCGAGACAGCATACATAAACGTTCTTATAGATGTCACCCCATCAACGATC